TGTATGTGGGCCACACTGGGTGATCGCGTACACTGCCTGTATGTACGCTCTCTCTCGCTCTCACTCTTTCTTCGCTCTCCCTCTTATACAGCTCTAGACTTTACCACTTTACCAACTTACTCTTTTTAACAGATACACTTGCCGTTGCTCTCTTTTGTGGTTTCTCAATTCGTCGTGTTTACATAGGGTGTAGACATATTTTATAAACATTTGTCATTCTCTTTACAGGGTCTACCTCTCTCTCTCTCTCACACAATTCTACTTTATTTTTTATATGTACACAACTTTTAATCGCCAGTTTCTTCGCTAAGTCGAATATCGACTCATTCTGCGATGCATCCAGTCGAAATTCACAGGGTGTCATTATAAGTCTTCTCATTTTTCTATCGTTTGCTCATTCGCTGGCCAACTCTAAGATTCGATTCTCTTTACATTCGTTTCTAGATTAAGATGATGCTGCTTCTCGCGCTCTTAAATAATCGTTATGCAATTGCCAAGGGTACACAGGGTGTGAGCACAGGGTGTGCACCAGCGTTGTTTACATAAAGCTGGCTGGTTACAATATATCTCCTGCATTTATTTGATTCCCTCTCTCTCGCTCTCTCTCGCTCTCTCTCTCTCTCTCCTTCTGTTGCTGTTTGTCTGTTAGTTTTTGGGTTGAAACTTGAGCCAGTGGCTTAAGCTGACACAGGGTGTTTGCACAGGGTGCCCGCAATCATTGTTTATAAGCAGCTGTCGCTGTCTTCACAGCGACTACTTTTTGCCACTTGCCGCGCATATAACGTTTTATCCACTTGGGCTTTGTGCTAGTTTTTGGCAAAAAGTTTATCAAGCTGAGGCCAAAGTGCAACTGCACACACACACACACACACACACTCACTCACATACACACACAAATACACAAAAACAACACACAACTTTGACCAAAAAAAGAATGAAAAAATCTTAGCAAACAGCAAAAGTTAAAGTGGCTTCTGAGTGTGTGTGTGTGTGTGTGTGTGTGTGTGTAGGGAGAGAGAATCGATATGTTTAAGCTGCCTGCTGCATTGTAGGCGAACTTTTGACACAAATACATATACAGACACACACACACAGTCACAGTCACAATCACAGTTACAGTTAGCTGCGCCTATGCATATGCTACAATACTTTGGCATTGTGCATGCCAAATGAGAAATTGCCTTCTGAATGACAACTTACAAAGAATTTGAATTTAGAAAATTGCAAATTTATGTTGTAACTAGCAGCCCGCACACTCTCTCACACACACACACGCATACACACACACACACTGTGAAACTGTCAAATGACCCAGAAATGTATGCTACATATATTCTCCGCCTCCGACTGCCTTTCTATAAACTTTGCCCAGACTGCCAAAAGAGCTGTGCGGCACATGCATATGCATATGCCTCAGTCTTAGTCTCAGTCTCAATTTCAGCCAGTGTTGCCAACTGTCGCTCAGAAATGTAGCTAAATGTAGCTGTAATAGGAGATACAATGCATCCCATTTATTATTAAACATTCTCTACGCTAACTGAGTTGAAAAACAGTCAGAAATGCAGGCAGCTGCCAGTTTAAGTAGCTAAATTTAGCTAGAACATAGCTAAATTGGCAACTTTACTGGTCTCGGTCTCTGTCAGCCTCTGCCAACACACACTCACACACACACATGCACACATGCACACAAGTCACAAGGGTCTGCAGACAGTCGCAATCGAAATTCAGTGTTCGATCTGATTGCCGCAGTGCGATTGTGTTTTAATTCAGTGCCACTTGAGCTGCCACTTGCACACACACACACACACACACACACACACACACACACACACACATACATACACATATGCAAATGCAGCCTGCCAGCCATTTGACATTTGTTGCATATGCGTCATTCGTGTCAAGAGAGACGCAGGGCGAGCACAGCCAAGACAAGTGTCTCTAAAGTCAGGCACATGTTTGATCATTTTCCGCCTGGCGCCATCTGTGTGCCGTTTTTGTCTATCAGCTATATAGCCTGTACGTGGCAGCAGTTGCTGAACAAATCGAATATATATACATATATGAATACTCGCATTTACTCATTTATTTATATAATTTATATAAATTTGCAAACTTAACGGTCAACAGGTGGCGCCACTTGTTAGAGCAACTTATCTAATATTTTATAATTAGCGTAACAAAAAATGGAACTACAATTCAATGTCACTCTAATTAGGCGCTTCCTTTGCTTAGTTAAGCTCTATAGAGTTCAGAGTTCCTTTGGCACAGCCAAAGGTAAATAAGATAAGTTCCACTCAATGGCTTATGAATTGTGAGAAGCAAAGGAAGAAGCGATGCGAATATGCAAGATGTGAATCGAGAAGAAAGTTAGCAGCAAAGCAATAATAATCAGCAGAAATTAAGCGGAAGAGGTCAATGAGCAAACCAATGAGCAATAAAACAATTACGAGAAGCGAAGTAAGAAGCGTCGATGCGAAAGAATGCGAAATGACACGGCCAGCGACGGCAAGCTTCACGTTATTCTCTTACGCTCATAGCTTTAACTAAAAGAAATACTCACACACACTCAAATCAGTTTTGGTAATGCGCCTAAAATAACTTCACTCTACAATAATTTTACATATGGCAGTTCTAGATAAGAAAGGTTAAACACAAATAGATTGCATTTAAAGTTGGATAAGAATCAAATTAATGCTTGGCGTTGCCGTACTTTGTAATTGTGATAGTGTTGCCACCTCACAATAGTTGTACATATGGCAACTCTAGGCAAGAAAAGTTAATCACAAGCTTCGATTGCATTAAAAGATTAATTTAAGTAAATCTTTAATCAATATTTTGGCGTTGCCATACTTAAATGGTTTTTTGAGAGGATAAATTATGAAACCACAAATAGATTACATTTAAATCAGAATATGAATTAACATAATTGGCGTTGCCATACATTAACATTTCTTTGTTGTTGTGACAGTGCTGAAAGCTTACAATTTTTGCACAAAATCCAGCTCTAGACAGGATAAATAAGGCAAAACCTAATTGCATTTCAAGTTAAATAGGAATTAACATAATTTTTGGCGTTGCCATACTTGAATAATTATTTGCGTTTCTTTGAGACAAAAATGAAATTCAATTAAACTGCTAATCAAACAGCAAACACTGCCCATGGAGCTCATTTGTTTGGCTGTTGTTCTACGACTAGACCAGCGCATGCTGCTGGTAATGTTGTCCTGGTCCTGGCCCAATTAACATGGCTCCGGCGATGGCAGCTGGCCACAATGGCGGGCCAGAGTGACTGGCCAGTTGGCCGTTAGTGCAGAGTCAAGTGGCCTTTTGACCAAAATCGTAGAGGCTGCGTGTGGGCCACGAGGAGGCCGCGCAAAGCCTTGTTAAACATTTCCGTTGACCAAGCAACGCGTATGTTTGTGCAATGTGCGTGTGTCAGCTTGTGTGTATGGGTAAATTTGTTTTTGGCCATGTCATGCCGTGACAGTTGCAAAGTGGCTGCCAATGGCCGGCCACATGTGGTACAATCCGCTGGGAGAGCCATCTGCGGTGCCAAAGCGTTAATTGAAATCTGAAGTTGAGGCAACAGGCAACAGGCAAAGCCAAAACCGACATCATCCAGCCATTAGGCAATTCGTGTGTGTGTGTGTGTGTGTGTGTGTGAGTGTACCCCGATGATTTGTGGTGCAATAAAACGTGTCATTTAATAGCTGGAGCATCCACAAATGCTCAAAACTTTTGCTTCACCATTTGTGTGCAGTCCGGCCCCAAAAACTAACAAGCTCCATTTCAATTTATTATAAATCGAAAGTCCTGCTCTATACGCCTGTCTGTGTGCGTGCGTAATCTTATCGTACAGCAAGCCTTTTTTACGCTTGATGGCACGCAGCCCGCATATGGGCCCAAAAAAAAAAAAAAAGAAAAAGAAGAAAAACACAAAAAAATAAAAATAAAAGAACAGGCCAAGAGTCAAGTCAACGAGCCGAACGTTAAATGAATTGCCTGCCTCTCGTTTGCTCTCTCCACTCTCCAGCTCTCTTTCACTTTCTCTCTCTCTCACTCTCTCTCGCTCTTTTTCTGGCCTTCACAGCAAGGAAAGTGACAGAAAATGCGTGAAAATGCTTCCAAGAGTCATGTTGCAGCAAAAAAAATCAACGAATATCCTTAAAAGACATTTAAATATCAAGAGTCGGGCTCGACTAGGCGCTGCTCGGTAAAAAACCTAGCTGCTCTCTACACACACACACACACACACGCAAAGACACATATACACATACAAAGAGCAGCGCCTATGCTTCTTCTTTTCAACTTTTCCCCGAAAACATTCTCAATTAACTTCGTTTTGTTATACTTCGATTTGAATGAAATCTCCAGCGCTTCAATATGGCACACTAAAGTGTGCCTAAATATTTTCTTTCTAAAATTTTGGGAGGGTTTCTTTTCATTTTCGAGTTATACTGTGTGAGTATAATAATTATAAATCAGTACCCAAACCTAGGAATTGTATCAGAAATATGCCTATTAACATGTGCCCTTGTATCGAATGCACGCGAGTCTCTCATCAATCGTAATGAGAGTCCATTGTTTAGCTGTTTTAGCCTCCATAAAATTAGAATTTATTTTCAGATCTTAAAATGGTATATGTATGGTGTGTAAAACAGAAACAAGCTAAGCTCTGATTCCAGCCGTTTGTCTCTGTCTTTCTCTCTTTCTGTGCCTGCAGCTGGCAGTGTTGTAAAACGTTTTATCTTGAGCCGACCGCAACGTCTTTCAATTGAAGTACTCTAAACTATCTCTTAAGCTGTGTCCACATCTCTCTCTCTCTCTCTCTCTTTTCTTCCTTTCTCTTTCTACTAAACATACTCTACTTATACTATAACGTCTTTAAACCACAATCAATCCATGAAACTAAACAATCACAACGACAAAAACAATACCAAAATAAAAAAAAAATGTTGAAATGAAACCAAAACCAAAAAATTTCACAACTCGTTTAGGAAATCGCGTATCGGAGATGGAGCTTCAGATCCAGATTCCGATTGGTAAGTCTCTTGCGTCTCTTGTTACCAACCTTTGGTTGACTCTCACGCTCTGCACAACAACAAAAACAACAACAACAAAAATAACAGCAATAACATAAAAACACACACACACACACACACACACACACGTGCACACTAGAAGACACACACATAGAGACACAAATTTAGCTACGCTTTTTGATTATGTTGCGATAATGATAATTAATATTGATAGTATTGATATTGAGTATGATGATGATATAATGCTGATGATTGATCATGATTGATGATGACTGAGCTGCAACTAATTGGCATGCGAAGCGCTTACTTTTTTGAATTGCGTTGGGCCACAAGAAAGCAACCGAAAACAGTTTTAAGCAAACACCAAATTTTTCTTCTGTTTAAATGGGTTAACAAGCGAGCCAAATCCAAATCACAATCACACATACACATATCCACACCCACACACACACACACACACACACACACCCACACACTCACATTTGGTAATCCAATAGTTCACAAAAAATACGAGTAGTTGCTATTTGCCAAATGCTTCTTAATGCAAGCACCAAAGCATTTGGCAATCACACACAAACAAACATCCACACACACCCTCACACACACCCACACACAGACACACACACGTGTATAAAGGACATGCCACGCCTAGTTCTTGTTACTTCTTTCATTTTGTTTGGTTTGGTTTCCCTTACATTTAGCTAGCCGCATTGCAAGCTGCGTTCTGCTTTTGTACCACATGACGTATGCGTAATATTAGGTAGCAACAATCGAAAATACTAAAAATCAAAAATACCATATAAAACAAAACAAACAAAAAATTACTAAGCTGCTGTATATAGCATCAAATAAATGCCATGGCAAACAATTTAAATATATCAAAAACAATTAAAAATGTAGTTTTGGCATTCGAATTGTATAAACAAAAAATATATACCGAAAAAACAATATATATATATAAACTAAATCTGTGTGTGTGCGTGCAAATGCTATAAAATTCGCTTTGTATGTGTGTGCCACAAGCTAATTATGTATAAGCCAAATGCGTTTTGAAACATACTAAATAAAATACTATACTTATATCGAAATACTTGTATATTTAAATACCATTTTAACACATATCGTATGTATATAATGCAGTTAATTCATTCTCGTAGCAAGGCAGTTTCTACGTAGACATTTGTTGGCCGACTAGCGATTTGAGCAAAACATAAATAAATACCATGAATACCATAAATACCAAAAATACCAAAAACTACCTCCCCAGCAAGAACAACAAGTACATGAAACCAGAAATTCTTAAGATGCTTATCCAATGTCCAGCTCCCCCAAATTTCCCAAATGCCAGCTCCGCATTCCCAGCATATTCCACTAGCACTTGTAGCCGCTTGTTGTAGTCGCACCCCAAATACCCTGTACCACTTTAATAATACTTTTCATTTTCATGGTTTTATATTTAAAACTGCACCTATTTATTTAAATACCTAATCAATATTGTTTGAAGACTCAACGAAAATCAAAATATATTTGATTAAAGCTCTATCTGAGCTCTATCTAACACAGTTTAAGCCAGCATAAAGCACTTTTCACTTTCAAGCACAGCTCAAATATTTAATAATTTACAAAATCAAATTGAGCCCATAAATATACGATCTGTTAAGAAACCTGGTACAGCGTATCTGCTAGTCGTGCTGCTTGACTTGTGCATCCTGTTCGGGCATTGATTTCTTTTCAGTATTTTTCTTTGTTTTTGCACTTTTGTTCGTTTTTGTTGTTAAACAGAGCTTTTAGCATGTTCTGGACACATTTTTTGTCTGCCCTTCCAGACATTGGCCTCATTTTTCACAGCCAAAAATATTCCAGATTTTAAGGAAATTGTTCTCTCTGGCCGAGTCATTAAAATGAAACTTAAGTGGAAACTACTGCGTTAGCCCGACTGGCTTTTAATATACTATTATTTTCCTTTCTTTATTTCTTTTCTCAACTGTTTAATTTAACAGCCTCGTGCTTTTAATTTCTCTGAAATTTCCCTGCATGTTATGCTTAATGTTAATGCTTTCAACCTTCATAAGATCTATCATTCTGTGTGTCTATACTTAAACAAACTATGCTTTAATCGTAAAATACTAAAGTGAAGCAAGAAGATGAAGTTAAATAAAATACTTTGCCGTTTTTGCATGCCTGATTGCCGTTAGAGCCGTTAAAACGTAGATGGCAGACGTCGAGGAAGCCGGAGACGGAGACACGCAGCTGGCTGATGGTGCCACACCCACATCCCATTGCCCCAACTCCAGCTCCAACTCCAACTCCAACTCCAACTCCAACTCCAACTACAGCCACGTCAAACGTTGCCCAGTCAGCTGTCAGTTGTCTCCGTTCAGGATGCCTCCTGCAACCCCACCCCCAACATAACACCAGCACCTGACCACATCTACATCTGTTTTAGTGCGTGCTTTTCTATGTGTGTGTCTGTAACCGTTAAGCGCTAACCGTTAACCGTTGCCCGTTGCCCGTTACCCGTTGCCCGTTAGACGTTAGACGTTAGCGTTGCCATATCGTTGCGTGCCATGTTTAAGTGCGTTAACGTTACGGCTTTTGGGTTTACCGTTTAATGAATGTTTATTGCTCCTACCACGCATTGCGTAAGTGTTTCCGTGTGTTGCGTAAGTTATGACCTTATTGCAAATAGAGCACCCTAGTCGTAGTGTCTAGCAAAAAAAAACAAAAAAAAAAAACAAAAACCAAAATTAAACCAAACCTAACCTGAAACGTATAACGCACGCTTTTGCATTTAGCTCTCAGCTCTGTTGCATTTTACTCTCTACTCTACCTATATTTCTCTCTCTCTCTTTTTCTTTCTTTCTATACCTCTATCGATCTAACCGATAACTTTTCCCGATCCTGTAGTTGCTTGATATTTTGAGTTTTAATCCAGCTGTAGCATTTAGTTGTAGTTTAGTTTACGCAGAGTTGTTCGATTTATCGAAGACTTGTGATCTTTGAACGTGTGTCTTTTGTGGCATATCCTCGTACAGGACACGCTCGAACCAACGCTGGATGAAACTGCGCACCACCGTACAAATCTCATCGGCCATACAGAAGAAACCACCGCTCAAGCGCGAAGACTCTTTCCTGAAGCGTTTCTCAACTAGACAGATACCCGAAACACAGGTGAGCATCTTCTCAAATCGAGCCTTTAAATTGACTTTGTGAAATCCACCTTTGCGGGTGAACTACAACGTTTATGGTAAAACGTTGGCTTAGCTCAATTCATAATCGTCATTTCGTTGCCATTTCAGGAAACTGTTGAAGATACGGGTTCAGAAAGTGCCTCTGGTGACGTCGACAAAACGGTTAAGCGTAGACGACGTTATCTGCAGAAACGACGCTCCGTTGTTAATCCAGATGAAAATTTTTACTTCTATTGGTTAATGATGTTAACTATATGTGTTCTCTATAATCTATGGACCCTAATTGTGAGGCAGAGCTTTCCTGAACTGCAGGTAAGTTACAAAAACTGACTCGCCAGCCCATTAATGTCAAATATCCTTTGTGTGTCGACTTTTCTTTATTTATCCCCAATGCCCCAATGTCCCGACTCCTTAGACCTGCTCCTGCTCCTCGCCCCCCGGCCTCACCCTGTCTCTGTCCCTGTCCCTGTTCCTGTTCCTGTCCCTGCTTTAGGAAAGAAAACACCTTTTGTCATAATGCTTCAAGTTTTGTAAGATGAGTTGACTTGCTGCCTAATAATAATGCCCAAAGGCCATAAAATTTCCTCAAACAATGAAGTTTATTAGGTATTTCAGCAAAAGAGGATAAAAGGCAACTCCGACGAGTCCTTGGCTCCTTTTAAAAGTGGGTTTAATAACATAACTAGCCGAAGGCAAGGTAATACTGTTAAACGGAAGAAAAGGTGGTCTTTGATTAGCCTTAAAACCTTTGCCGGGCTCTGATAATTTATTTAGCTAAGCCTTGGGCTGGACTTGTGTTCCGGTTTGCTGATATCCTACAAACGGAACTTTATAAAGAACAAGTTAGATGTTAGGATGGAACAAGTTATCGATAGGCTGGCTTTCAAGGTGCAACCCATTCAGAAACCTCACATTTAATAGAATCCATAATTGTCAAAAATTTTATTTGCTGTTCTGAAAGGATTTTCGTACGATAATTCCACCCGTAAGTGTGGAAGAAACGTGGAAAAAACAAATTTTTCTTTCTTTCCGATCGGCTTCATTTGAGAGATTTTTCACAAAGTTCGCATAGTCCCCCTTGGATGGCAAATGTGGCACAAAGTTTGTGTTAGGGAAACTTGGATCTGTGATCTACAAGATTTTCCAAGTCCAAGTGGCCCGGGCACAGCTGGGCCATACGCGCTAGTTTCTTATTGTTGGAGATCCCCTCTCTCAATTGGCATGGAATATCTTGAAGCTTTTGGCATTTTTTGCCGCTACTTAAACAGGGTATATTCTAGTCTGAATTGCGACGACTTATTATTATCAGGAATTGGTTTTTATTTGTTTCTTTACATATATATTTTTTGTGACCAGCGCTTCGTAATGACTCAATTAAAAGACACGCAGGCAACTCATGAGCCAAGTGGTCGCTGGGTCCAGGGGTCGAGGGTTCGATGGGTCGATGGGTCGAGAGTTTATTCTCTGGTTAGTTAGTGGGTTCGCTTTGTTCTTGGAGCTTGGTGCAAATGTTTGTTCACGGCCCAGTTAGCTGGTGTTTGTCATCAGATTAAAGTCTGCCAAGGGTTGCCAAAAAAATAAAATAAATAAAAAACGAAAAAAAATAAAAAAAAAAAAAAATACAAAAAGAGCGGCCAATGTGGATAACATTTGGCGGGCCTTTTTTTATTTCATTTTTTGTTTGTTTGAGAGACAGGCAAAAGGGGGCATGGCATGTGATACACTCGTCGTCGTTGACCTTTAGAGCGTAATGTGTGGCACGACTTGTTTTTGTTGTTCCTGTTGTTGGTTTACTCGTGGGGCCTGACTTTTTTTTTGTCAACTTGCCATTTGCGAAGGTGGCTCCTGCCCCCACCTCGGATTCATTTGCAATTGTGAAATGCATTGCTAAAATAATTGTCCTTGACCCGAGCTTTGTTTTATGCACAGCCGTGAGCACTAATTGAAAATCTCAACTAATTTTTCGAAATTATTATTCTTTGTTTCTATTTTTTTGATTTTTATTGTTGTTTTTGTTTTTGTTTTTTTTTTTTTTTTTATTTATATTTTTTGTGAACTTTTGCAATTTGGCTGACAGCAATCTGTGCCTACCTTTTGGCTCATCTGCGATTCAATGACAGATGTTGTATTTATCTTAGATATAATAGTTCAATTACGCACAGGCTATCTGGAGCAGGGCCTAATGGTGAGTACACATAGCGGATCATGCAGTATAGGTACAACTGGCGTAAGCCTTAACCCCCGGCCCATTTATGTTCTAGGTATACGATGACAGGAAACTGGCCTGTCACTATGTGCACTCGCGTGAGTTCATCTTTGATATGATAGCGCTGATACCATTGGATCTGCTCCAGTTGAAGATGGGCACACATCCGCTTTTGCGTTTTACGCGCTTTTTTAAAGTGAGTAACGATGGATGCTATGCCAAAAAGAAGATTCTCTTTAATCCACTTTAATCATGTTTCAGGTATATCGATCTGTGAGATTTTATTACATCGTAGAGAGTAGAACAGTTTGGCCAAATTTATGGCGCGTTGTTAATCTAATTCATATCCTGTTAATATTGGCCCATTGGTTCGGTTGTTTCTATTTTTTGCTCTCCGAAGCGGAGGGCTTTCAGGTAAGTGCCAAACGAAGCCACACATAAGCCTCTTCTATATATATTTATATGTATATGCGTTTAGGGTGATTGGGTCTATCCCTATAGACCGGGTGACTATGCGACGCTGACGCGCAAATATCTGGGCAGCCTTTATTGGTCCACCCTGACGCTGACCACAATTGGGGATCTGCCGACGCCAGAGACGAATGCAGAGTGAGTATGAGACGTTGCCTGGAAACCTTTAAGGATCAGCTAAATCCCTGACATCTCTGGGGCGGGTTGTATTCGTTTTCATTGCATACCAAAACAAAAAAAAAAAAAAACAGACCGAACTTTTCGGTGGACGGCCCCCGATCAATACCAAGGCGTGGCATCAAATCACGACTGCTACAGTTTGGCTCTAGCTATGGGTATGATCCTAACAACATCATCGCAAACGTATCTAAACATAGTGTGCTTCAAATATCATATGCTATTTGTTGGGGGCTGTCCACCAGTTCGTTTCGTTTTGTGTATTACCAAAAAAAAAAAAAACCAACAACGATTCTCTTTTGGGGATGACAACTGTTGCTTATCATCATGATCAAAGTCTTGGCTAAAGGACATTAAGAAAATAACATGATATCGATTTATTATCAAAGTTTTCGAAAGCGTGCGACAGCCTTCAACAATTCCAATGATATTTAAACGCTCACAATTTCCAAAGCCAGTTTCTAAATTTGTTTCTAAACTTTGACTTAACATAAAAAAAAAACAAAATTGAAAATGTGCTTTCGAAAACTTTGATTGTGCTTTTGCAAGCGAGCAGAGTCTTGACAGCGAACCAGAGAGAGAGAGAGAGAGAGAGAGAGCAGGAGAGAGTGAAAAAGACGGAAAGTGAGAGTAAGAGTTACAGAGGGAGAGAGAGAAAAAGTGAAAGAGAGGAAGAAAGAGAGAGGGAGAGATTGAAAGAGAGAGAGAGAGAGAAAGAGAGAGAGAGAGGGAGTTAGGGAGAGACTATTAGAAAGAGAGAAAGAAAGAGAGAGCAATAAAGAGAGAGTTACTGATAGAGAGAGAGAAAAGGAAAGTGCAACCAGAATGACATGGCAACATTAAAAAAAATTATATTTTTATTGCAGTGTTTTCTTGAACCAAATCGAGTATTCTTATTAGTTGCGATTGGATAAAACTCTTTTTGATGTAATTGCATACAATTTTTCATTAGAGCCGCGCGATGCCGGGTAATTTCTCCTTGTCCCACGCGCCAAGCAAGAATAATTGAGAAACACGCAAACCTCTTAGCACTCCACTTTTCTAGGTTTTCCTTTTTCATTTCATTTGTGTACATTTTTTTTTGGATAAATTAAAAATATAATAATTAAAAAATGAAAGCTGCTCTCACAAATCTTAATTAAGTAGACTGTCAGGACTCCCGCATGCATTAAAGCTCTCCCATTGGCTAATTGATGCGTATGGTAATCCCCGATCTTTGTCTTCCGCTACCCGCAGATATATTTTTACGATCGTTAGCTATTTGATTGGGGTTTTTATCTTTGCGACTATTGTGGGCCAAGTGGGAAATGTGATAACAAATCGAAATGCCAATCGCTTGGAATTCGAGCGTCTACTCGACGGGGCCAAGACCTACATGAGGCATCACAAGGTAAGTGCTCGCTGCTCCATCGATAGCCCCAACTAACACGTCCTACGACGGCAACCTGCAGGTGCCCGGCGGCATGAAGCGGCGAGTGCTGCGCTGGTATGACTATAGCTGGTCACGGGGTCGGATACAGGGCGGCGGGGATATTAATACTGCGTTGGGCCTGTTGCCCGATAAATTGAAAACCGAATTGGCCTTACATGTTAACCTAAGCGTACTGAAGAAGGTGACCATATTCCAAGAGTGCCAGCCCGAGTTTCTGCACGATCTGGTGCTGAAAATGAAGGCATATATCTTCACGCCGGGCGATTCCATCTGTCGCAAGGGCGAGGTGGCCCGTGAAATGTTCATCATAGCCGATGGCATTCTCGAGGTGCTCAGCGAGACGGGCAAGGTGCTGACCACCATGAAGGCGGGTGATTTTTTCGGCGAGATCGGTATACTCAATCTGGATGGCCTGAACAAGTGAGTGAGCCTTAATAGTTTCCCCTCCTTTTCCTTCTCCTCCTTCTTCTTCTCCATTTTCTGATGTGCTCCGTATACCGTTCTCTAGACGCACCGCAGATGTGCGCTCCGTGGGCTACTCAGAGCTGTTCTCGCTGTCACGCGAGGACGTACTGGCCGCCATGAAAGACTATCCGGACGCACAGGAAATTCTGCAGACTCTCGGACGAAAACGCCTCATGGAGGTGCGCTGCGTGAACAAGAAATATGCCAAGGCGCAAAGTGACAAGGAGGCTGCAGCCTATGCCGCCGCCCATCCGCATCATCCACATGCTCATCCGCACCATCATCAGGTGCATCAGAGCGACAGCAGCGAGAACAGTGCCTCCAAGAAAATAGTGGACAAGCTGAAGCACGATGTAAAGGGCTTTCGCAATGTGCTTAAAAAGTCCAGGTAAGTTCCGGCACAGGCAATTAATGTTTGTGGAATATGTTTGTTAATGCCAATGCCACTTCACGCTCAGAACCTCACGCAAAAGCGATGAATCACTGGAAATGCAACCGCTGCACAATACCTCGCCGCGTGGCAGCAAGATTATGCTGAAGCGCATGTCACGCGTGCGCTCCGACGACAAGGATGCGGATAGCGCCGAGGCGAAGGATGAGCTGCATGACAAAACGCCCAGCCCCATTGGGGCCGGCCTGCCGCTGCTGCAGCGCCTGCGGCTGCTCAAGGAGAAGCAGGTAAGTCCAAGCCCGATAGCTTTCATAGCCAGTGCCATTCTCATTGAACACATCCACCACCACCGCCGCCGCCACCACCAACACAGCCACCGCCCAGTTCTGTTTCTATCACAAACTTTTTGATCAACTCACCATTCCAATTGGAATTCGTGCATACGCAAAACTTTGTTAAACACATAATCGCAAATTTCGTATAATTCGCATAATTCACCTCATTGTTTAACCTCACAAGCTTTTGATGGTGTTTATCCCAAAGACAAGCAACAGATATCCATACAATTATCACTAGTTAGATGAACAACTACGTTTACTAGACAAGACGCATACCCAAATACTCGTATACTCACAAACACGCATACGATAAAACGCGTATATACATAAATACTCATACCGGAGTATACTCACACAAATACGCATACCGACAAACTCGTATACTCATAAATACGCATACCGAATTAACGTGTACTCACAAATATGCATACTGGAAAACTGTATACGAGTTAACCCACAAATACGCATATCGATAAACTCGAATGCTCACAAATACGCAGACCCGAACACTTGTATACTCACAAATACGCATACCGAAAAACTCGTATACTCATAAATACGCATACCGAGTACACGTGTACTTACAAATACGCATACCCGCTCGATACGCACTCTTCAGTCTTTGGAGTCGCGATGAGTGCTGCTTCCCCTTTTTTATTGTTACTAGTTCATTTTGTTGTGTTATTTTCCTCAGTATCGTTAAATAAGTTATAGTTATATTGAATTGCTTCTAGTGCACCTTAACCTTTGTAATAATAGCTACTTGTAATTCAATTGATAATCTTGTATGAAGCACGTTTTGCGAATGAATTCTCAAACGAATTCGATGCAATTATGGTCCTTGTTTTATAAGTTGCTGTCAAAGTTCGCGTTAAAAATCATTTGCTGCCTTTTTCTTTATCTCCCATCAAATACCTTTAATTGGATTCATATTTATATTTAACTATTAGCTAAGTGAAGGCTTAGGACCTTAACGCGCGATTTAAGTTAATTTTGCAGCAGCTTTTTATGATTTCATGTTGATGGACCTGCCTATAAGCCTCTTATATATCTTTCTGTACGCCACACCAAGTAGAGAACTGGAAATTGCTTGACGGCTGCCTTAAGACTACCCATAATTAGTTGCTCAATTACAATTTTATTTTTGTAAGTAAACAAATCGATCAAAAGACAAAGACAGGCTATAGAATGAGAGAAAAACAACGGAACACCACACTTAATCATATCTGACCTGATCTATACTAAACTCTTCTGTAACAGAAAACCACACCTGATCACAGTTATTCAATCATTCACACTGAATTTCACCAGAACAGTAGGCGAGGTCCTTACTACTCTACCATATCATACACAACAAACACAAGAGCGTTACTTACTATACCACATTTGAATGTGGTTCAAACCCTTCCACATTGAATCAGATTGTACTGACTTACGCCACTCTCCAGCATATTCAACTCAACTTAGATGCATAAACATAACAGGAAACACAACGCAGCTTTCATTCACACCACATTTGGCCATCTTATAGCATTCCACATTCAACTACTTTAAATCTTATCATGGCTCATCACACGACACCACACAATACCACATTACACCGCATCTTGCATACTCAGCGAAGAGTTTATAAAAATGTATGATTATTGGATTTGTACTTTTTGATTTGGTACCTAATTTGATTAAGCTTAAAGCCCAAAAGAGAGAAAGCTAAAACCAAAAGCAAAATTCGTGTTGTATGTAATGAACCCCGGCTCCTAAATAGTAGTTTTTGTATGTGTCTTTATGTGTCTTGCACTAGGATCGCGAAGAGCGAGCTGTTAAGTCCACACCACCACAGAAATCTCCACCTCACTCACATGTAACGTGTACGTTATCGCCGCAGGAATCGATACAGGAAGAGCCCGAACGCGAGTTTAACGAAGGCTTTCCCCTGATCCAGAGATTGCAGCAGTTGAAAATTAAAAACGAGCCACAAACGAACGCCATCAGCGAGTCCGTCGGCGTCGTCATGGTAAAGCCGAAAACCACTCTTTCAATATCAAGCACCACAGTTTTGAGCATAGATTGATTCATTTTTGATCCATCCTATTAGCAAGGCAGCAGCATATTAATTCCATCTTTTAACTAACCCCCTAGGCACACACGCCGCCCAACATCAGCAGCAAGGTGGACTTTGGAGCAGCAGCAGCCGGTGCGACAGCTGCTGCGACAGGTGTTGCGACAGGTGGTGCAGGCACAGCTCAAACGCTGACCGTTGCCCAAATCAAGCCCATCATGAAGGTCTCATTCAAGCAGAAGATACAACAGCTGCAGGGTGCGGTGCCGACCGTGGCAAGCGGCAGCAGCACCGCCAGCACCACCAGCACCACCGGCGCCATTGCCAAAAAGGAGCCACCCAAATCGCTGGCTGTGGTGGCAAAGCATGCCAGCTCAGGGCTGCCACCGTTGGAGCCGGCGGCCGGTGCAGTGGCTGTTGGCCAGCCGACAGGTGCCGCCATGTCGAGGAAAGTGATAAAACCGTCCCAGATGCTGATCACACCGCTGCAGTCCGATACGGATACGGATGGCACGCCCATCAAGCCCTGGTCCAAGCTGAAGCTGGCCACACTGATGTCGGCCAGCTACACGAGCCTGAACAACTGCTCGCCAGACGATCTGGCAACGCCGCTAAAGAACTATTCGCTAAGCAATATACCGCAGCATATGGAGGGCACGGCAAACGCTCGACCGCGTCATCACAGTGCGCGCAGCTCACGCTCGCCGCGTCACGCACACGGTCACGCACATGGTCACGGTCAGGGTCACGGTCAGGGTCATGGGCATGGCCATGGTTCCAGCTCGAGCACGTGCTCGTCGAGTGCCCGAAGCACATTGAGCAGCACACGCGAATGCCTTCGACTGCAGAAACCGGAACAAAAGCTGCCCGAGGCTGAGGCAACCGGCCGGAAGCTCTATCAAAGCGTTTTCGATCTATCGCCGGAATATTGTGGACTGCCGTTTGTGAAACGGCTGAAGATACTGAATGAGCGCCAGAAGCTAGCGGAACTGGAGAAAGCGCTGCAGACGCGCAGCTTCAGCCTGGACTGCTCCAAGTCGAGCAGCAATAACAACGAAGTGCCCATTACGGAGTCATTATATCGCTGCTATAGCGACACCTCCGGCATCTACACACAGTTTCTGAGCGCCTACGAGTCCACTACCAGCTCCACATCCATTTCGACCAATACATCCGCATCGGATAGCAATTCCAAGCCGCACGCCCAGGCGCATGCGCACCAGCTGGAGTACATGCCGCTCAGCCCGGAATCGAACGAGACCGTCGAACGGCGCAAACTGAAGAGCATACTGAAAAAACTGCAGAAGGGTGGTGCAGCAGCAGGTCTAGCTGATCAAGCTGTTGGTGGTGGTGCCGCAGCCGATGGTGATGCCCAAGACGAGGCGAATGCCAAGGCCAGTAGTGCACTATCGAGGGGGCTGCTCATGGAGCCGACCTTGGAAGGGTACGTGGCCAGGCACAGTAAGCTCTTGAAGAGTGTAACCTTCCATTCAACTCTTTCCAGCCCGCCACCCAGTGCCAAAGAGGAGCTGCACCTCGCTGCCCTCGGTGGTGCTGTTGCCTGTCAAAATAATTCGCAATACGCAAACGCGAACGCGCTCGCGCTCGGTACGGTCACGGTTACGGGTAACGGTACAGATAATAATATGGCAACGCCAACAACGGTACGGCCAGCGGGCATAATGCTGCCAGATCCGTCTGTCTGGTCGCCGACGTTGGCATTGGTAACGCCAACGAATTCGCCGCAAGAATGTTTCGCATTTGAGCCACAGCTGGGCGGCGGCGTTATCGCTGGCGTTGGCAACGGCTCAGCGTCAATCGCATCCGCATCCGCATCGACATCCGCATCCGCAACCGCCTCATATGTGGTCGAGTGCTCCGCGTCAAACCAGATACTCTCACAGAATACCGAATTTCATGCACAATCCACAGATTTGAATTTGAATTTGCAGCTCCGGCAGAACACGATGAATGCCACCAGTCAGGCGGGTCAGGTCCCAAAATTGGAAGGTAATTACGTTGAGCGTACTTTTGCAAATATCCTTACCATATTTACCCAATATAAATACGAGTATTTCGAGTCCAAGTCAGAGCAACCACGCTTCACCCTCGCCCCCGTCAAGCTTACAATGTGTCCCTTAACACTCAGTAATTAGATAATATGTCCATTGTGCTACACTAGGGGTATTCCAGCAGCATTTTAATTCGTTTCATTTCCTTTAAAAAAAATTTACATAATTTAGCTGCATACAAATAAGTGCAAGCGATTCGAAGTATTAGTTTGTGATCGATACTTTTTTGTCATCGATACTTTTTAGTATTGCTGAATGCCCCTAATGTTAATCAGGCCGACGTACTATGCATGCCTCTTGCAGCGCCTAAAAGCACACTATACAAAACTCTTACGCTTCGCTTTGCTTCCCTCTTACTATCTCTCTCACTCGCTCTCTATCTCTCTCTCTATCTCTCTCTGTCTCTCTCTCTCTCTATATCTGTCTCTAAGTACATATATATGGCGCTATTTAGCCTTTGTGCATTTCTCATTATGCATGATGCCATGTCATCTTTTACCATTTACTATTTGGTTTTAATTAAGATATTCTTGCTTAAAGTTTCGAATGCTTATGCTAGGTTAAGTGTTGATATCACCTTATAATTTATCGAATACCTTGAAGCTTTATACCTCTTTAAGTTTTATAAAGTATTTGTAAGTATTGGCCAGGTTAAGCTCAGGTATTATCAACACCTTCAGCTAAGCAACAACCTCAGAGTCCAAATCGTATATTTAAGCGCTTTATAGAATTATTGATATGCGTAATTATCATTTGTCTCGAGTATAAACGAACTATATCAAACTAAGTCTTAACTCAAGAGAAAGAATTCTAACGGTATTGGTTTAAGTACACAATTTGCACAGTCACAAAAGCATTTTCAGCCCGTAAACGTTTGAGCTCGTCATCGATATTGATATCGTCAACGGCAGTGTTATCGCTATCGATATCGATATTGAGCTTAAAACTTATCGAAGCACGCGCACGCACGCTTTGGAACGCAATGGAATGAAACAACGAAGACGGCGTACGATCGTTCAGCATGCAACCGACACACACGCACACACACACACACACACACACACACACACACATACACGAAACTTTGAACGCTTTTGTAAATATGTTAAAGAAAGTAAGAACAAATCGAAAATTTATCGTTGATCTTGATTGATTTCCATGACGGAAATGCAAGGAAGCGCTGTAATTTGTATGGGAATGTGTGTAAATAACTGTAACCTGCGTATGTATGCATTATCTAATTTGTTAATCGTTTGGTAACAACACGACAACAACAGCAAAGGCTTCGACAGCAACAACAACTGCAACCACAACTGCAAATCACTTTAACACTTACAGCCAGAATGTTGTCTTTGTCTCTCTTTATCACTAACACACACACACACGCACACGAACACTCACACACGCACACAAACCCACGCTGACTTACCCACACGGGCGCATAGTGGCGCCTCTCACTTGTCCGACGGGCCGTCGTCCGTACACAACTGTACCACAAACACGCACAGGGTTGCCACCCGGGTGTACGCATTTACTAACCTCAAAATACAATTTGAATTCAAGGCTTTCCAGAGGCGCAGGACTACTTCAATCAGATAGTCAGCGGCATCAATCACGTGATAAAGACGCACATGAACGAAATGCACTCAAAGTTCGAGTCGCAATTCTCGAACATGGCCGGCGAGGTGAGACGCCGAGACGCTATCATTGCCCAGCTGCAGCTAAAGCTGCGCTCCATCGAACAGAAATCAACGATGGCAACACCGACGCGTCGAATTAAACGGGAGAAGCTGCCACAGCTCTCCGTGGACGATGACGAGCCGGCTGAGCAGGATAATAGCAGTTCTGGCTCCTCGGCCGAGCTGCTCTTCATGGTAAGTTCGCTTACCTGCGCGCTTTCTAAATAAAAGCAGCACTGCCAGCGTTGCCAGATTGCCAATCAATATTAATTGTTTGCTCCTATTAAGCAAAATTGTAGTTTGTAAAACTCAAAAAGCTTATTTTAACCTCAAATTGAACGTGATACGTGATAGTTAATAGTGTCTCCCCTCTTTCTCTCTCTCTCTCTCTCTCTCTCTCTCTCTCTCTCTCTAATTGATTGTCATTCCCCTCTTATGTCTGTCCCTTTGCGTTTCGTTCGGCAGCGCGGCGACTCGCTGGACACTGTGTTCACCTCGTCCCCGCCCATCCAGGGCGGTCGGCGCAGCATATCGCCTGGACCCAGCCGGCATCATGCGGCCTCCGCCAATGCGCTCAACTGTCCGAGCAGCTACTACAGCGGGCCGGGCACATTGACGACGCGGCACGCCCAAAGCCAGCCCAGCTTTTATACGCCGCACGGCAATGGGCGGCACAGCAGCCGGGCAGGAGTTCTGCCTGGCTATCGCGATTGGCTTGAGCATGGAACTGCCAGTGGCAGCAGCATGGCAGGAGGCGCTGCCGACAGCAGGAGTAGCGGTGGCTCTGGCATGGGCGTGGCCAGCAGCAGCAGCGGCAGCGGCATGATGGTCTCCGATGTGACGGGCAATTTGACGCGTCTGTCGGACAGCGTCATTTTGGATATTGGGGAGAGCTCCAGCTCGAGTTCGTCGTCGAGCAAGCTAAACATTGCCGGCGACATCGACGACGATGACGACGACGAGGCGGAGGCGGAGGATGAACTGAGCGGCGCGGCGCTGGTCACGGCGGCCACCAGCAGCGGCGCTGCCAGCGCCGGCCACAACGACTGGGAGGTGCAAATGCTAGCGGCCGAAATGGAGCGGCAGGAGCGCAAGCGTGGCCTTTCGCTCTCCGACAATTTGGGCGAGCTGCGGCAGTGCAGCACATTTCTGCGCAGGCGTCGCAAGTTCAGCGACACCGAAACGGAGCACAGCGAAACGGATCCGGATGAGCGTCTGGCCAGCACTGGCGGTGCGGCTGGCGCCGATGTCGATGCCACATTGGGCCACGTGGCCAGTGGCAACGGCAGCAGCGGGAGCGGCAGCGGCAGCGGCAGTAATCGACCGCGTGCCTCGAGCCTGGATCAGTTTAACCTGCGCTATGGCATTGGACGTGGCATCTTTAAAGCAATGAGCATCGATCGTGATAAAGACAAGCTCTGAGAACTATAATCGCAGCAACCACCCACAGCAATAACAAGAACAAACCTGGACACAAACAATAAGCTAAGCAATACGAGCAGTATTACAAAAGGAACAACACACAACACACACACACGCACACACACACACACACCGATATACAAGACAGCATATAAAGAGGTATGCTATATATATTCTATATATATGTTTAGCCCTTAACCAATTCTCCAGAGCAAGAAAACCACAAAAAAAAACCCAAAAAAAGAAAAAAAAAAAACAAAGCAGATGCAACTTAGGGAAATCCTATAAAACACACATAAAACCTAGTATTAGAGGCAAGCAGAGAAGAGGAAGAACACAGCACACAAAACAAATCGAAGAGCGTTCCACAGTTTTGTCCAGAAACCCAATTTATCTTACCCACATGTCTTGCATATCCCATATATATCCTATGCACACATATTTCAATTCTCATGTTATCGTTATCGCTCATTCATAATTGTTATCGTTATCGTAGGCGTGGTCGAACAATACGTTTGACTATAGCCGAAATTTCTTTTGCAGCTCTATGTGTCGTATGATTCATTTGCATAATGTTATCATCCTAGTTATCTGCGGTTGTATCGTTGTCAGTGATTATTCAAAGCAGTTGTTATCGTTATCGTTATCGCTAGCGGAACCATCATCGAGCCATAGACAGACTCTTTATAACAATCAAAACTATCCGCTTACCTCATGCGGTTTACATATATAATTATATTTATGTATATATTAGTTCTCATGTTATCGTTATCGATATAATTATTACAAGCTATCGTTAGCTAATCAACATTAACCGCATACCTCATGCGTCTTCCATGCATAACTATGTATATGTGTATATGAGTTCTCATGTTATCGTTATCGATATCATTTGCACAAGTCAATCAAAGGTATAGATCAAGCGCGATGCCTGATTTCCATTACCAGTATCGCTTCTCTCTCGTTCGATTGTCAACCAAAGTTACCGATTTTGTCTAGATCAATTAATTTTGCGTCTAATCTCATTTAATCGCTATCGATATATATCGATTTGTTGCTTCTATTATCACAACCCTGTCCACACAAATTACAAACATGCACATATCGTATATGCAGAGAGGCCTCATAGTTATCGTTATCGCTATCGTTATCGTTATCGTTATGGTCATAGTCCAATGTCAGTTTTCAACACTGGCAAAGCCTTCCATGCAATAAGCCTTACATTTGATGTACAAAATTGTGTGTGTGCGTGCGGGTTAGTGTGAGTGAAAGACAGCTGCGAGTATCCACATAATACCGTCCTATATATATATATATTTATCTATATATATATATAGCGTCCATGCCATTGGCGCATATATGATTTGTATTAGTATTGATATCTAATGTGTGTGTGTGTGTGTGCGCGTTTGCGTGTGTGTTAAGGTTTTGTCACTTTCCTGTCACTATTATTTGCCTGGGTTCCTGGACATGCGGTGGATATGCTAAGCTTCGGTAAAAAACCGTAAAAAAAGAACAAAAAGAAACTAAAAATGTATATACCTCTTATCCTATTAAGTACGTAGTTATACACACACACACAAATATATATATATACATACTAGATAAATATATATATATATATATATATTCTTAAATATAATATGAAATAGTGTAATGAAAACCGAAAGCTTTAATAACATATATAGAGACCTATTTAAGAAGAACATTTTAAATACTAATCAATTCAAGCAACAACAACAAGAAGAAGAAGAAGAAGAGATACCAAAACTATGAATACCAGATAGAAACAGAGAGAAACACACACAATTAATATATTATAGCATAATTAAATATAATGTTATAATAAACACCATGCATACAAATACTTACATAGAGCCTTTAGCATATACTTAATACCACATTGATAAAATGTATACACATTGAGTTGGAAGTTATTAGAGAACTGTCTAAGCGTTAGTCTACTATCTACTATCTACTAACTACTGTCTACTGTCTACTGTCTACTGTCTACACTATAGCAATTTAGTCTAGATTCCGATGGAGTACAGCAATAATCAATACCAACTAATGCTATCAAGCTAATCATCTCTCGCCAAATCTAGTAAAAGCACAACATTGGCTTACTAGTTTTTCATTTTGTTTAGGGATCATTTTAGGCCAATCCAAAATTTACCCAATTAGTTGACGAGGCTCGCCGCAGCTTTTTTATATAATGCCAAATTCTACTTTAGACCGGACTTTTCAAAAAAGTCTCTTAGTTTAGTCTCTAGCAAATGCACAAACGATACTAAAGCTTATCTTCCCACAAAAAAAAACAAAAGACGAAAAGGAAACTCCAATCTAATGTTTCATCTATAAGCTAAGCGCTATTTTATTGTAACTATTTAAACGAAAAAACAAAAAAACTTAACTTAAAAGGGAAAAAAAACATAAGCAGTAAATTCCAAGAAGCCCAAATTCCAGAAAGAACAATTAATTGTGTTAAAAAAAAGAAAACTGTTTTTAATCTAAAGATTTTATCAGAACAAAAACAAGACATACAAAAATATTAAAAACTTGTTGCTACTTTGAGCTAAGCAAACACAAATTGAACACTGTTAGAGACCGTCCCAACACCGCCCTTAACTATGTGCCAAAGCTGCAAAACTATCGATAACACTATTGTGAAAATCGATTTTGGTTTAAGTCGTTATGGTTTGGGCAATTCCTGCCAAGTCGGTGAGCCAAGCTCGGCATCAATTTCACCTATCGATAAGAGTATCGATATTGGAATTATAGTTTTATCGATAGTTGGGCAACTGCACGCTCGACCGCTCGCACCGCCCCCAGCCGAAATGTTGTCATGTTGTCAAATGTGGCGATTAACAGAGGCCTAGCCACGCCCACTATAGAGTTTCGTAGCGCCTAGCCAGCAAGCGTTCAGATCAGAATTTCACTAATGCAAATGCCAAAAGAAGCTATCGATACAAAAAAAAAAACAAAAACTATCGTAACTATCGTATTGTTTGTAACGTAGTTAGCGCACGAGTCGAGATGAAAGTCGAGACAGAACGAAACGTAACACTATTCAGATACTATATAGTATATATACATAGATATATACACATACATACAATATATGCTCTATATGCCACTACTTAACAATATGTACTAAATGCAACAACTAACTAACTACTAGTCGGCGGTTGAGTTGTACGCCATGTATTGCATTGTACAAAAAGCACCATGTTATCGATATCGATATCGATATCGATGTCCATGTCGATGACGATGACGATAACGATAACGCACTAATTCAAGGAACAATTTCAATGGGTTCAATAAATGGGTCACAGCCAGCTAAGCAGTCCAACTAAATTTAATAAGAGTACCAACAACAACCAAAAAAACCAAAAAACAAAAGAAAAAAAAAGAAGAAACACCAGGTCAAGCACAACTTAATCGAAATTCTCTTAATCATCTAGATTGTTAAGTGATTATACTTATAATATATACATATACGTTATATAAGCAAATACATGTGTATTCCATTGTTTTCTATCTGTTCTTCTAACGAGTTCTTTCATTGTTGTAGCATTGTTGAGACGAAACAAAAACCAAATACATTTTTTTTCGAATTACTTACATACGCCAGGGACCACAACAGTTTAGAGTTTTGTTTTTCCTTTTATATAAGAACGTGACAAAGTATTTAACACGAAACTAGCAAATGTAATGCAACTAAATCTAATGGATCTTACGATATATACTTATATATATATATATATATATATATATATATATATATATCCACATATATATATATATGTATATATACCAAATGCAACTATGATAAATATTAACTGTGTAAACTTCATCATATGATTTGCATCAGAGCAAAACAAACAAACAAACACGCACACACACATACATGCACACGCACACGCATACACAAGCACATGAAACAAGAGAAGACAGTTATCGCACTCTGATCGGAACTAGAAATGAGCGCGCTTCGGATTGGCGATACCGGAACCGGAAGATGCGCATGACAGTGAAAGTGTCACGACTTTTAGAATGTGCCAAAGCTTTATTCACTTTATTCATTAGCAAAATAATTTCTATAGGATAAATTAAACACTTTCTTCTTCAAATGACATTTTATTATGCCAATGTTAACTTACTTTAAATAATACATAAAAGTGCGAAAATTCTGAGATAAGTTGAGAAAATATCAGAATTTATTATTTATGAAATTTCACTCATTTCAATATTGGCACGAACTTGGCGTGTCACGCGCTCATCTCTAGTCGAAATTCTGATCGAGTCGAAGGAGCACACACACACACACACACACACACACACACACACACACACGCACACATCTTGTATGAAACTCTGTGAGTCAATTACCTATGAATATGAATACTTTAATTAATTTTAGACCCCCTCCCCCAGCACCCTCCGATCCCAGCCCATCCACCACTCTGTAATTATTATGTATATGGTAGTAAATTAAGTACTACAAGTTGATGTCGTTGTTGTTGTTTTAAAATTAATCGCTTTTAAGTTATCGATATTTTTGTACACTAGCTTAAGGTAGACCGTTAAGAGTAAACCACAAGAGTCTAGTCTTAAATTTCCCAATTTTTTTTTTTTTGCCTCTCTTTCACTCCCAACTCTCTCTCTCTCTCTCTCTATATATATATATATATCTCACTCTCTCTGTCGTTATTGCTAATTTCGCAAATGTTGACAGATACTAAGAACAAATGAATGCATATTATTATATAGTTAATGAAATATATGAAGTACATAATAAAAGAAATGAAATTAGCACATGTTAAAGAAACGCAAATAAAGAAACGAACGAAACAAAATTGAAAAGCTAAAACAAAATGCATAAACGCAAAAAATAAACTTGCCTATAAATTGCGAGTTAACTTTTAGTGTGCCAAAAATCTGCATCATATCAATTTTACTCACCATAAGGTATGATGTTGCTAAAAGAAAACCGAAGAAAAACCAAACAGAACAGAAACATGAGAGATCATAAATTATATAAAAATATATAAATTCAAATAAAACATGATACTAATAAACAAACAAATGCAACTAAGGTGAAATATGAAAAAACAAACAAAATAATAATAATAAAAATAATAATATTAATAATAAAAAACAAACATATTAATAATAACAACAAAACATATATTAAATAAAATGAAAGAAAAACACAAGTTTAGTACGCGAGCGAATTTCCAACATTTTTTA